TCTTATTTTCTTTTCTTTAGTTCTTTCTACTCTCCTCATCACTAGAATCTATGCTTTCGGATCTAATCCTCTTATTGCCTTTTGTCAAATCCGATTTAGGTCCGACCCACTCTCTTCTTGGAAAACTCCTTCCCTCTGTCCCCAATATTTCTTTCTTTTATTACTTCTCCTTTTCCCTTTTCAATTGTCGATAGCCTTTCCTTTTCATTGGTACTTGTCACTCTTTTTATAGAGTCCCCGCCCCATTTATATTTTTCGTCCCCAAGAAAGTATATAGCACTTGAGTCATATCTAGGCCTTCTAGGTTTTGGTTATTCTTATTTCCTCCCAACTTCCCAGTTTGCATGGCTATAAGTCCTTTGGGTCATTGTCCAACAAGTAATCTAATAGTTTGATTTGTCTTCCTATCCACACAATCTTCCATTTGCCACTATTGATACCTGCTATCTCTATTTCTTAGAATTTTGTTGGCTGACTTGATGAGGGAAAAGATCACCTTGAAACTCGTTTCGATTGGAAAATTGGTTCAAACCGGTCTCAACATAGAACTTAGTTATTCAATGAACAATCTCCGGTGGGCTGGCGGTGATCCCTCTTTTGCTATAGGGTATAAATTGATCTCTCTCTCATTCTCGTGTGCGCACGCACATTGTTGTGTGTGTGTGTTGCAATCAGGTTACCTAGGGGTGCAAGTTGGGTGGGCTGGGTTGGGTTTTAGCTCAACCCAAGCCCAACCCACACTAAAATTTGATGCACTTGGGTTGGGTTCAGGCTCAGGCTGGGTTTGTGTTGGGCTTGGGTTGGTCAATTAGTTCGCACACTATATCTATATCTCTCTCTCTCTCTATACATACATACATACATACATATATTTTAAATCCACAATAAGAATTGATATACATGTGTGTATGCATATATGTATAGTTTTTTTTTTTTTTTTAAATGCATACATGTATATAATCAGGTTGGGCCATGTTAGAGCTTACCATGGGTTAATCCCAAGCTTAGCCTACAAATTTTAAAACCTGAACTTTTGTGCCCAAGCCCAACCTGAGGATTGAAAATTTAAGCCCAACTTGTGCAAAATTATTGGTGGGGACAAGGATTGGGAGTGGAAGTCCTCAACCCACCTCGATCTCAATTATATATATTAAATATACAATAGTATTTGTATTATATAAAAAATATTATTTATATTTTAATTTTTGAAAATAGCTATGTGCAATTATAATGCCACTACACAAATTTCAATTTATATGTTATTTATATTTTAATTTTTTTATTAAAAGTGAATATTTTCCCGAAAAGCATTTAATTAAAAAAATGAGGATTTGGGTCCTTGTTGGGGAGCCTATCTTCATTAGAGATCAGGGATTGAAGTTAATTTTTACCCTAATGAAAATTGTGATTGAGGACGGGGATTTACTTGAAAGTCAAGATCAAAGATGATGAAAATGATCCCCATCCTAAACCTGTGCCATTGCCGTTCCTATTGACATGCATGTGTGTATGCATATATTTATGTAAGCAAATGCTTATGCATAATTGCATATACACATATCTATTGTATATATATGCATATGCATATAATCATATTAGGTTAAGATTGGATTGGACTTGGGCTAGGGCCCATTCCCAACCCCAAAAAAAGTAAGAAAATCCCTAGTTCAAAAGTTTTGGGTCCAAAACTAGCCCAATGATTGAAATTATTATTCTAACTCACGTTAATTTTTTTTTGGTAAAATACAAAAAACCTCCCCTAAACTTTTTGACAATCATAAAAACCTCTCCTATAATTTCACTTTAACAAAAACCTCCATTTTATTTTTGAAAAATTCAACAAATACCTCCCTTCCATCAATGACCAAGATGAAAAACGTTAAAGAGATGATCATTTTTTCAAAATACCTATTTTACCCTTTTACGAATTAATGTGTATCTAATCCTCAAACATTGTTCATCTTTTTCAATTGATTCACCATTAAAGTGTTAGGTTTTGCCCTTCTTCGACAGAGGTAAATTTGTTGTGCCCACAACCTCAGCTTGTTCATTGCGGTTTCGCTTATTCGAAAGAGATAGTAGATCATAGACGGCCTTGAGAACTGGAGCAACAACAATAGCAGAAGAGAGACTCTTGCGACTTCGCTTTGTAGTGCCGGACCGGCTTGGAAGAAGCTGACATAGATTGAGAGTTGAAGTAGTTCTACCTGATGTAGTAGCAAAATCAGCCTGATCATCCATCTTCGGAGGAGGTAGGGCATTGGACACAGTGGAGGACGAGTTGTTCCTGGGTGTTGTGGTTGTTGAAGGGGGAGGATGAATACCACACCATTGTCTTTTCGGGGTGGCATCTCATGTGACTGAACAAGGACTTCATGGAGGGAAAGTGCTTTCCACAGATGGAACAAGTTTTTTGGTCATTGGATTGGCTGAGCCCGAGCCCAACCCAAGTGCATCAAATTTTAGTGCGGGTTGGGCTTGACATCGAGCTCAAGCTTTAGGCCCAATTTTTAGGGTTGGGGTTGGATTGAGCTAAAACCCAACCTAGTCCACCCAACTTTCACCCCTAGGTAACCTGACTTGCAACACACACACACATACAACAATGTGCACATGCGCATGCGCGTGAGAGAGAGAGAGAGAGAGATGGCAATTTCTACCCTATAGCAAAAGAGGGATCACCGCCAGCCCACCAGCGACTGTTCATGGAAGAACTGAATTCTATGCTGAGACCGGTCCAAACCAATTTCCCAATCGAAATGAAGGAAACATTACCTGCCCCCATTTACAGTTCCACTGAAGTTAGAGATTTTGATTGTTTTTCTTTTTCGGCCATCTCATGGGCCTCTTCTACTACAGTTCTATTTACATACACTATTTTAATATCAACAGAAAAAACTTGTTAGATGTTTGATGTGGTCCACCAGGTGCATCTAATGTTTCCCACAGTTCCTTTGAGATGAGATAGTACTGCCATAGCATCTGAAAACATAAAAGCTGTGGATATGTTGAGAGAGATTAGTTTCCTTAAGCCTCTTACAACTGCCCAGAGTTCATACTCGGCTGCTGAATTTGCTTGGCTAGGCTGTCCTTCTGCAATGCAAATGTTTTTTTTTCATAAGAATAAATGAGCAAACTTGAGGTGGCATAGTGTGTGTTGGTGTCACAAATGACTGTTTTGTGGAGGGCGACCATGTGGCTTCATCTGACTTTGGGATGCTAGCTACCAGACTCCCACTGTATGTGCTGCAAGTCAGGCATGTTGGAATAAGCGTTTGCTCTTCTGCTGACCTCCAGTCTCCAGGGGGATTTGGTTGCTTCCCTCTGAATGTTACTCAATTTTCTTGGGCTTTCGTGGTTTTGCAGCCACCAGTTCGTACATCCATTGTGTTTGACTCTATCAAAGATTCTGGCCGGATACAGATCTGTTCATGCAACCACACTGCTCTTGAGAAGTTGCACTCAAAGAAGAGGTGGAGTTGTGGCTCCAGATCGAGTCTTTTGTTCTAACAGCTTTATGATTGATAGTATTTCTAGAGGAGTATTTTGGCATCTGTGGGGAACTTGGAGCTTCCAGATCTCTTTCCATTTCATCTTGTTTTGGGAGGTCTGATTCTGATTAAAGGGTCTATAAGCCAATCGGAGTACTGAAAAGTCTCCATTGGTTGATCCTTTCCATAGGAGCCTGTCATGTTTGTTTTGAGGTGGGAGGGGAATTTGGGTGATCAAGTCAATACTTTCTTCTAGCGGCCCAAAAGGGCTTTGTTCCATACTCTTTAGGGAGTGGTGAAGTTGTTTAGGTTGCATTTGGAAACGATGTAAATGGAGTGTAAATCCGGTTCAGGGTAAATTTGTATTCTAGTTCACTTTTGATTGTGTTTGGCAATATTACATTTATGCATTGACAAATGACAGAAAACACATTTTCTAATGCATATTTATGTTGATAATAAGACTTTAAAGTATATCAATAAAAAAGAAGTAAATTTGCATTCAAGTGGCCTTTTGATAAAAAATACATGTTTTATTGGAATTCGTGTTTGCATCCATTACAGCTAAAAATCTGTTTGGTAAGAAGATAAATTTATTGATGCAAAACTAACCCAACTTTGCAATTTAGGCTGTGTTTGAAAACGATGCAAATAAGTGTGAATGCAAATATGTAGAGTGAAAAACGGTTTATACAAACTGTAAAATTAGGTTAATTTTGCACTAACAAATTTACCTTCTTACCAAACAGACTTTTAGCTGTAATGGATACAAACATGAATTCCAATAAAGATTAAGATTATTATTTTTATTTTTATTTTTTATCAAAGGCCCACTTGAATGCAAATTTACTTATTTTTTATTGATGCACTTTGACATCTTATTAATGTAAATATGCATTGATCTATCATTTATCAATGCATAAATATAATATTGCCAAACACGGGCAAAGTAAATAAGAGTACAAATTTACACTCTATATGTATCGTTTCCAAATACAACCTTATGTGGACCGTTTTACACTCTACATATTTACATTCACACTTATCAGTATCGTTGGGGCATTTCACCTGTGTTGGAGTAAGTTTGTGGTTTGGGATCCAAGGAATGCATGGATCGATGAGCGCATTCACCTGTGTTCCTACTCGTATCTGCCACAACATCTGAGAGCACCGTTGTTAAGTTAAATCAATCTGGTATGAGGTAGGCCCGCCCAAGTTGCATCTCTAATTCCTCTATTTATCAAGCACCTCCATGAATTTTATTTTTTACTTTTATCCCCAAGTAGGGATTTCATTTGATCACTGTGCTATCATTTTACTGGTACATCATACACGTGTTACAGTGTAATTTAAAAATGAAAATTAACCACTAACCAAAACAAAAAGGAGAGAAGTTCTATTTTCACTTTGTTTTTTGGTAATAAATATAAAAACCCTAGGTTTCTTGCCACCTCAGTGTCCAGTGTCCACTACCACTCTATAATTTATACAGTATATATTCTCTCCCAGTATTTCATGTACAGCTACATCTCGCGAGAGTATGTGGGAGGGAAGTAGTTAAAACAGACAAACAACACCAGTCGCTGAAGGATTTCACTCTCACTCTGAACTGAAATCCTATCGGCAACGGCGATGACGACGACAGCAATGGAATCTTCTCTTTGAAGAAGAAGTCTTAACCGTTTTTCCTTCCTTTCATCGTATTGTTCTTCATATTATTCAGTATGCTGGAATTAAATGTTTCCCGGTTCACGATTTTGCCCTAATTTGTTAGCAGATTTCGCCTCGTGTCGGGATTGCCTCATCGTTTCTCTTGTTATCCTTTAGGGAAAAGCTGCCATTTTCCAGTAAGTTTCAGCTATCTCGCGTATTTTTCTCAATTTCAATTGAATGAGCCTATTGGGCTTGCATTAGTTGCGTTCTTTGATCTGGAGTGGGTTGGGGTTCATACCTAGTCACGGAGCTGAAAGTTGCATTTTGTTTCGGCGTTACGGGTTCTGGTTTTGTAGTTTCTCCCCCTTCTCTCGTCAAGCGAATTTGAGACTATTTTGCGTTGTTCCTGATCGGTTGTAAAGTGTCTTGGTTGTTACTAATTATTTGTAAGGTTTCTGTTAAAATTTTTGGGCATCAATTTTTCAAATGGTTGCACACACATTAGAAACTAATTTAAGACATTCATGCTTCACAGAAACCTGATGTGTTGAGGGACATTTAATTGGAGTTGCTCTCAAGTTATGGGGAGCAGTGAGATGGATTCATCGTCAAAGGCGCCAAAGACGCCTACAACGCAGGTCTACTTCCTTGTAAAAGTTGTATTTCTTGGTTTCGTTTAACCATGATTTATGGTTTTATTATCTCAGGCGTTTTCTCAAACTGTTCTATATTTCATCTATTGTTCAGGAGCAGCCTTCTGCCACTACCACTGCCGCGGTTTATCCCGAGTGGGCTGGATTTCAGGTACTGGTGGAGAAAATTATCTTTTGGTCGTTCTATTTCGAGCTTCCTATTGTATTTAATCTTTTGGTTGGGGTAACAGGCATATTCGCCTCTTCCTCCACATGGCTTCTTTCATTCTTCGGTTGCATCTAGTCCCCAGGCTCACCCGTACATGTGGGGAGCTCAGGTATAAAATCTTTATCTTAGTTCCACTAATGGGGTTAGTACATCTAGATCCATATATTGATGCATATAATTTGCTTTATTTCACTTACAAAGCAGCTCGGTCTGGGAAAGGAAAGGAATGGAGTACATAAACCAGCTAAATGCACTCACATATTAACTACCTCATACTTGTATTGATTCTCTCCACAAGTCTTTAGACAATTGGGGCCATGTGGGTTTGACTTTAACCAGTAGAGGAAAAAATTCACTGGAAGAGATCTGCTGATTCTGCTCCTCTGTTATTTGGCCTCGTTCTTGCCTTTCTTCTTCTTAGTTTCTACATTGAACCTCCTTTTATGTTTCTCACTTCTATCAGGTGGAAGTTGAATCTATCAAGTGGAACACTTTCTTTAAAATTGGCTATTGCATGCTATTTCAAATTTTCAACTTGACCAGAAGCATCTGATAATCCCCATCCTGAGTTGAAAACCGGATCAAGGAAAAACTTCAATTATTTAAGTGACTTCATTATGTTGAAAATAATGTGATATACAGGGCTTGCAAATAATTGGATTAACCTATCTTCTGGAAGCTTTACAGGAATTGCACGAATAACCCCCTTCCAGATAACTCTTCATCTTCTGATTTCTAATACTGCAATTCTGATTTTTAGGGGTGGTTTCTAACAAAGCGTGCAATTTTTTTCAAGAAAACTTTTTTCTTGGTAACTTTAAGCTTTATTAATAATATCACCATTATCATAATTATAGAGAAGATTCAGGGCTTATGCAAATTCAGATTTGGTAGAGCTACTAAGTCCAATTGAGCTAGAGTCTACTGCTGCAATTTCCTCTCTCCAGTCCCTGAAGAGTGAAGAGATCCTCAGTACCTAATGGGCCAAGACCACCCCTGCTGCATCCAGCAAAGTTTAGTTTGACAATGTTCAATTCAGGGGGTCTCCAACATCTACTAGTGATATTGATTGCTGAAAATGAGTTTGCAACCCACTGCCAACCTGTAGTGATCTCATCCATGGTAACGTGGTGAAAGAGTTTTGTCTCAAGAACACAACATGTCACTCTAATCGTGATGCTTTCAATGATAGAGTCTCTTGATCTCTCTTTGTCATTAAATATCCTGTCGTTCCTCTCATCCCAAATGGTCCAAAGAATGATTTAAGGCTGCAAATGGATTGAATCAAATTCATATAGGAGTATATTTGAATTTAATTCGATAAAATATCCGCTAGATTCGAATTTGATAAGATCTGACAGATCTTCAAGATTAAGATTCAAATTTGATTCAACATCTTAATCAGATATAAGATTCGAACTCAATCATAGTAAAATTTTCATCTCATGAAGTTTACTGAAAATCTGAATAAATATATATGCAAAATACATATCCGGTTAAGCTATTAGCAGCCTCTGATTTTTCTAGAGTATCAGCTAGCATGTTTGCAGATCTGGGCACCCATTTGAATGAGATGCTTAAATTTTTGCTTAGGTTAAGTGCTGTCTCATCAAAGGTCTGTAACTCCACGGAATGTCCTCCCTTCCCTCCATCCAATAAGTTACGGTTTTACAATCTTGCTTCATTGTCACATCAGTCCAGCCATTTGTAATAATTAGCTTGAGACTTTGAATTAGTGAAGAACAGTCTCCTCTGCATCCTCACACAAGTAGCACCTTCCAGCTAAGTGAACACTTCTGCTCTGAATATGGTCTAAAGTCAAGATACTATCCAACACCACTGGCCATATAAATGCTTCTACCTTTGGAGGAATGGGGTTTCCCCAACCCAACCCCCGCCCTAACTCAAAACTTTCTGTTTCCATCCTCAGCAAAGCCTTGTAGAAGGATTTAACAGAGAACACCTCTTAACTCAGAACTTCCTATTTTTCTTACTCAATCTGTACTACTGAGGGCATTGACATTGGGTGGAACTACCCAAACACTCTCAAAAGGAATAAAGAAGTGTTTTCACACCTGAGTGGCATAGTGACAAGTCAAAAGGGGATGGTTAGTGTTTTCCCCACATTTCAAAGAATGCATACATGAGGTAGGGGAATAGGGGTATCCTATATAATTTGCTTTTATCATGCTTTTTATTTAGTTTTGAAGCTAATATCATTTCTCAAGACTTATGCCTTGCCAAATTTAATAAAATTTTTAACATATAAAGATTTATTTTTCTAGTATATATTCTAAAACATGCCATTTTGCATATTTCGAAAGTGTAAACACTATAAAATATATTTAGAAGTGTTCATGCTGTACTTGGTGTTTTATTGGGTATGTATTTTGTTTGACATTTGTGTGCTAGGCATGTACATATATCCATGTATAATTTATTCAAAAAAGTATAATTGCTCAGAATTCACTTTTGCAGAATTCATCGAGGTTCCAATTTTGTTCAAAGGTTGCTTTAGATGAACTAGAATGGAGCAATGATCTAAAATATAGATGTGTGAAATGAAGCACTAGGACCTTTAGATGCATGAGGCATATACCTCATGAATTAGCTAATTTTTTAAGAAAAACACGAAGCTTAAATGAGAAAGTGTAGTAATATAGGAGCCACTCCTTGCACTGTGATCATAAGGTGGAAGAGAGTTCTCCTTTTTGTATATCCAATCCAACTATCCTTTCTGTGAAAATGTAGTACAAGTTCTGTAGGTACTTTTTCTCAAAAAATTTCCGAAGTGAAGAAAACATTGGAGTAGCATGCTTTGAAAAAGGCAACCTAAAAACTAAAAAGGAATTGCAGTTGAAGTTGGTGGTGTATATTGTGAGGAGTTACTATATACAAAGTACAAGATCTTGGGGCTAGGAGATCATATCTGTGCTTTGGACATTGAAGTCAAGGAATTGAAAGAACAATTTGTCAAAACTTGTTGCAATGGAAGAATTGGAAATTATAGAAGAAAATGATGAATAATGATTCAATATTTATAACTTGCATATATATATATATATATTTTTTTCTCAAAGAAAATATAGGAGGTGTTCATAATTAATATTATTTTTGATCAACAACAAAAACTTTTATTAATCATCATTAAAGAAACAAATATAATAAAGCAAGGGGAGAGGTAGACTCTGTTAACCCTCCCCGAAAAGAAATTCAAATTACAACAAAGCTCAAAACAAACAATCCCTTCCCACCCCTTGTTTTGTAAGTGTATCAACAAAAGAATTAGCACTTCTCTTTAGCCATTGCAATTTTATCTCCATGCCTTGGGTCAGTCACTTAAACTTTTTTTTTTTTTTTTTCATTAGCAATTTCCAAATTCCATTCTCCTCTTTTTGTAGCCAACATATGGCTAGCATTAAGTCACCTTCAACAATCAACTTTCTAATATAAGTTTCCTTTTCTCTTTTTGTTGCTTCCATTATTGCCAAGATCTCAACTCTAAATAAAGCAATAACTTTCCCTTCCTCATCCCTGAAAATTCTTTCAATGCTTGAAGGACCTAGGTTATCTTCATTGCTTCCATCAAAATTCAACTTAATGAAACCAACAACTGGTGTAGATCAAAGGGGACATCTCATGCTTTTGTGGGGGGCTAGACTAGCCACTTCCTCTAGTGCCTAAATAGTCCATTTGCAGAGATATCCTCGAAGATATCCAAATACTTCACCAAATAAGTGACTTTAATAGTAATGGTTTCAACAATGGCATCTCTACTTCTTTCCATTTTAGAAAAAATCCTTTGGTTCCTTTCTTCTCAAATTGTCCAGCAAGTAGCATCTGTTGCACATCTCCTTAATATTTTTACCCTCTTCTTTGACCACTTGACAGAGAAAGAAGCAAACGGGCTTTTTACATTTGGCAGGGGGTCCACCCGCAACCAAACAAAGATAGAAACCAATCCCAAATAACTGAGACAAAGGGGAATAGGGATTAACAAGTGATGGGAAGTCTCACCAGTAGCCTTACAAAGGATGCGCCAATTCAGGGATAAGCACCAAATAAGTCTTTTTCTTTGGAGTAAATAACATGTGTTGCGCCTTTCTAGGAAAGCTTCCTAACAAAATGCTCCAATCTTGGGTGGAACCGGTTTACCCCAAACTTCCTTAGTAGGGAAAGGTTGCTCACGGCCATCAAAGGGTTGAACTAGAGCTTTGAAGAAAGAGTTACAAGAAAAGGCACCGGATGAAAAGTCCAAATCCAGTTATCCACCCTTGAAGGGTCTAAAACCACCCCTTCCAATATTTGAATCAAGGCCAAAACATTGTTTAAGTCAAAGTCTCTGAGATCCCTCAATAAAGCTCAAATCGCACTCAAACTCATAACTTGAGTCAAAAGGACCCCCACCCAAATATGTTCCCAAAAGGAAGAGCTAGGCTGTTATGGGGAAAAGGATAAAGAGTTGAGGAAAAATCTGGAGGATATACTTTTTAAAGAAGAAATTAGTTGGAAGCAAAAATCTAGACACAAATGGGTGAAGGAAGGAGATAGGAACACGGAATTTTTCCATGCTATAGTTAATGGCAGAAGGAAGAAGAACTCCATTTCTAAGTTGGTGGTTGATGGTACAACTTTAACCCAACAGAATGAGATTGCAGGGGCTTTTGTGGATCATTTCAAATCTATTTTCAGAAGACCTCTAAATGAGAGATTAAGGGTTGAAGGCTTGGATTGGCCTAGGCTCCACGAAGAGTTGATTGAGTGGTTGGAAAGAGAGTTCGAGCTGGAAGAAATAAGGGATGCCATCTTTTCTATGGATAAAACTAAAGCCCTAAGACCTGATGGTTTCATGATGGCTTTTCATCAAGACTGCTAGGAGATAATTAAAGCTGGTATTCAAAGTGTGTTCTCAGAATTCTTTGAAAGAGGGGTGATAAATCCGGGTCTGAACTCTACGTTTATTTCCTTAATTCCAAAAAAAGAGGGAGCTTGCCACTCTAAAGAGTTCATCCATCGGATTGGTTAATAGCCTCTATAAGATCATTGCTAAGGTTTTATCCTGAAGAATTAGAGAGGTGCTTCCCTCAATCATTTCCTAATCAAGGTGCC